GGGGGGGGGGGGGGGCGGGCGGGGGGGGGGGGGGATCTTGATAATTGGTTGGAAGATGGATGGATAATCTACTTCAGTGGTTCTCAAACTGTGGTGTGCGTACCACCAGTGGTACTCAGAGAGCCTCTTAGTGATATGTGACAAGACTGTTAATTTGTTACTGAGATGTGGAATTCTTGTTTTTTGTGTTTAGCAAATGTAAGTGATGGTTCAGAGTTGCCACTGCTTGGATCTCGCCTTAAACTATATTTCTTTTGACTTATTCCATCTAGGATGTGCCCGGTACTTCCTGAAATACCGTCACCCTGCACTGAAAAAGGATGGATGGATGGCAGAGGTGGACATTTCAGGTCCAGAAAAAAAAAATCCAGAGTACTCAACTGGTTGGTGGGAACAAAATCTTGGTCTGGATTTGTACTCTGTGGACCTGAAATGTCCACCGCTGATGGAGTAAACTGGACGGACGGCTGATTTCTGAGTGCTGTGAGGGGTCACTGTACTATGCGTCGTCGCATTTTAGTGCCTTTGTGCGAGGCCACAGTAACACAAGGCTTGCAGCACTTACCGATCGTGTGCACTCTAATGTTTTTTGCCTGCAGCTTAGCACGGTTGTTATTTGTGCTAATAACCCACTTCAAACAAAAGTATCTGCCAAGTACTTGAATGTGGATGTCGACGTGCTTTCAGAGTTAGGTGAGAGGCCTTGGAAGGCGGCCTGCCTGAAAGTGCAGAGGAGATGGACGCCCGCAGAGATAAGGCTGGATTAAGTTCGTATTAATCTCCAGGAAGCAGTGCATTGTGTTGCTCCAGCAGCAGATAAGCCATAAAAACCCACTAGTCCCCCCCCCCACCTTTTTTTTTTTCCATAGCGTTGTGAAAACAACTCAAAGCATCACAAGCTGTGTGATCCAGACTAACAAGAGGGCCCAGCATTGTATCAATACTGCAGATATAAAACTTGAAAGGGCATGTAGAGAGCAGATGGCATACATTTTCACCTTGGTCCTGATTGGATAAGAGAATTACAGAAGCGCCATCCAGTAGCCAAACTCCAGTACGCCACAAACTGTATTCCCGCTCTCCCTACGGCTCAGCTGTGCTGAAGCTGCACACCCCTGAAATTAAAGTCCAAGATCTGGTGATACATAGTGCTAAACATGTAAATGCATGAACGATACTTTCCTCAATGAACTGAAAGTGCATGGAACCAACTCCATTTAGTCCCATTCAATTAACTATATCTCTCCTGATAATTGCTAGGCTGTAAAGTGCATATTGATGTAGACCGTTTGATTTACATGTCCTTTTTTAAAGCCGGTTATCTACAATATTGTGTGTGAGCAGGACTGACTTGTAATCACTACGATCTGTCAGGCATCCAGGAATTCTGCTGACAGCTTCTGCAAAAGGTGTTTCACAGTTCCACTGGCTAATCAAGCCATGCATTACTTGCCAGTGGAAATTAATGTTTTTCTGCGAATTTGGACAGAGTTACCCACATTTGAATTTTTTAAATTTACATTATATTAATTTGAAACTGCCTCCTCCCTTTTTTGTAAATAGGACAAATGTCTCCCAAAATGAGTGCCAGTAACATGCATCATTATAGGTTGGCAGAGATGGTCTGCTTGCACAGAAAGGCTGGAACGCACATCATTACCGCTGCACTGATGAAGCAGGAGGCACACGCCATCATTAAAGGCTGAAAATATCTGTTGCCGTGTTTCATGCCTGAGCAAAATTGCATTTGAGGACCCCTGAGCCTTCTAATCAAATGCCATCAGTACCAACATATATCACAATTCTTGAACTTTTTTTTTAAAGACCTTTTTTTGTCGACATCTAATATTTGGCAATCTGACTCCCGGGAAGCAATTTCGTACAGAAGGCCCCGACTCGACACGGACACTTATGACAACGGAGTTCAGGATCAGGAGCGCATTTCAGCGTTTTGTATCACTGAGAGGGAAGAGTGTGTCAGACCGGGCTGCGACAGAAACTCAGGGACCCAGAATGCGGAGCACAAGGGTGTTAGCAACCAAATCAGGCAAACTGTACTTGAATAGAGGGGCAATGCTTGTAGTCATGGTTACAGGTCCAGAGTTAGAAGCCAGGGTGGTCAGTCCTCCAGAGGCATGAAGACTGATCAGGAGCAAGGAAGGGCAGGAGTAGGTAAGGCAGAAAGGAACAGGAACAAAAACAGGAACAAAAACAGGAACCAACACAGAACAAGTATGAAATGCTCATGTAACAACAATACCTAGCACTGAATGTGAGGGTAGAGGGGTTATTAAAGGGAGTGAGGCGCTTATTAGCACTAATCCGTCAAGCTCGCCCCGCAGGAAGCGACAGCTGCACATGAGGACAAGGCTACGGTTGAGTTCAACTTCCTTTGACATCACTTCTCCCCCATTTCTTCCACACTGATGAACAGAGAACCTGACCTATTGTCTTACTGCTGGTGTTGCTTCTGAAATGCATCAAAAACTGCAGAGGAAAGCAAACTTTTTCTCTTTTAAATTTGAGGGAGACCAGGACGAGCCCTATCCAACGTGGACCACCCCATGCCCGAAGTAGAGACATGTTTCTCGGATATAAAATTCTGGCAGGAACATTCTCTCGAACGGGTCTTTTTTCAGCACAGACTGGACATCTGCAGGGTCTGCGGACATCTCCCCTGCCCGGCAGGAAGCCTGCAGTGCTTAGTAAGACCTTCCGACCCATCAGAGCTGGACATGCAGACGGAATCCTGAACTGAGAAAAAAAAAAAAAATCCAACTTCCTAAAAAGGGAAAAAAGTAAGACCATTTGGGACCCTTCAAAATGGGCGCCGGCCAGATGGGCAACCTGAATATCGGTAACGGCGCCATGATGAACCTGCCTCGGCCGGCTGCCAAACGCACATTAACATTTTAAGATCCATTTGTTAATACGCAATTACAGCCAGGATTGATTAGGAAGCACTTGAGGCCGCTTTTAATGGCGATGAAGGCGCCGTTAGAGCTCGGGCTGCCCGATGCTTTATGACGCGCCGTCATCTTCACGCCCTCTCCCCCGCGCTGCCGTAAATCCGCGCTGCACAAACTCTCGCCCTGTCACACTTTCACGAGGTCAGTCGTAACTTTTAAATAGAAATATGTGGAGCTGTTGGCGTTCACACCTCTTCTTAATGTGCAAAACCTGCCCTTTCCCACTGCCTTATTAATCACAAAAGAAGAGGACGGCTTCTGCATATTTCCTTACACGATCCACGTGCGGACGTTTTCATAAAAAAAAAAGATTACACACAGGATAACTGTATTACAATGCAGTCTAAACAAACAAAGGCAGCAATCATACAGTAATGTTTTACAAAACAGGCAAATGATTGCTTTCAAAATATAGAAAAAAAGAATCAGTCACATATATGAAGTGAGACAATGGAGATAGTGAAAGTCTTACTGTACGTGGTTCTACAATTCAGATATCAGGCTGATTTCACGGAAGCAGGCTGACTGGATCTCTACAGTACAGTACTGCCCTGTGGCTAGCTGATCTGTAGTATATAGGAGTATTCCTCCCTGTGACAGCTTACATAATCAGCTTCTGGTGCCTCTCACTGAATGATCCTGACCCCGGTTCATTGGGTTATATAATAAACAGTGGTCAAACCAAGCATGGACGAACACCTGATTTAAAAAAATAAGTAAAATAAAAGCCGCCATCGTTATCACGGTGATAAAATATCATCGGCAGCAAAATATGTAAAATATATATATATGCAAATCATCTCTTGTTTAACTCTACTGGTTTGTAACTCTGCGTGAGTAGACAAAAGTAATGAAGTCTTAAATTAAATGCATTTGCCATTGTCCTCTGAAATACATCAGCTTTACGTACTTACCTAAAACTCTTAGCTAAATTATCAAAACTGTTAAACTGTGAACCGCAGTAGGGATATTTCATTGTACTACGTTTGCGTATTAAATGTGACGAAGAAAGAGCGAGGGGGGTGGAAAATTCAAATATGGAAGTCGGGCGCGATTTTTATTATAAAATGTATAACGCTCTGTTGACTCTGCACAATGCCATGTCGAGACAATGCACTGATTAAATGAAGAGGAAGAGACGGATAAACGCAGAAAAGCGCCGATGACAGGTGAATTTCGAATTAATCAGATTGCGCTGGAGTCCCTGTGCACGTGCGCTTGCTTCTGCGATCAGCAGTACGCGACACCTATCGTTAGTGTTGCGCAGAATGCCAAGAGTATTTGTGGACTCAGCAAATATGCAGAGCGCCTAAACGCAGGGATGAGATGCATTAAATCGTAAACACCCCTTTTCTCTTTACGGGTAACTGCACGATTACGCGGGATGCTGTAGCTATCGGGTAGAGAATCAGAGCAGGATGTTGCTGAACCAGAAAAACACAACCCTCGGGGTTATAAACTGGCCGCTGGCTAAGCGCAGACGGGAATAAAACTATATTTTGCACTCAGAACTCACCCTTGGCTCAGGTGTGGACAGAGCAGAGCTGTAATTGTTTGTCTCTGTCTTGATCCCAGAGCTTAATCAGTTAAAGTGGCATTTCAGTGTTGAAGGCGTCGCTGTTGAATTTTCCCTCTGTCCCAGGTAATTAGGATCCAAACAAGGTCTGAGAGTTGGCAGACAGCAACAGCTGCTTTCAATGCAGGGTCAGAAGTCAGCACAGTGATTTGCATAAGCTAATCAGGGTAAATGAAATGCTGATTTATTCATTTGGGGTCTGATTTTGGTGTCCTGATAGAAAAGCCCCATCCGTTTTTCATATGCGATCAATGAAATTAATTAGCCATATACAGCAAGGTTATGCATGCACAGCTACTCCAGCAAACAAAATGTTTACAGAAGTTGACAGCCCTAGCAGGACTCTAGTGGTGAAGGTGAAGTGCTCAACTAAGTCTTCTGAGGGATTTTTTAAACCCTCACTTGGACGCTAAAATCATGACAAATCGACTGCTTTCAAAAGTATAAATAAGATGCGTATTCTTTCTCAGTCCCGTGTGAAAGCATCCCACCTCCAACCCATCTGTCAAGATATATATTGTAACTATCCACCTTCTCAGCTTCTCTGCCGTTCGAACGTATTACCTATGCTGCAATTACGCCAAGAGAGCTCTCAAAACATCGACGGGGGGGCAGTGTAAATGTAGCTGATGCATGTGTGAGGAAGAGAAGACGTGTGTTTGTGTCAGTATGACTGTGAGAGAGAGCATAAGTCTTTGTGTGTGAGGGAGAGGATGTGTATTGATGTTTAAGAATGAGAA